ACATGGTCACGATCAAGAAAAAGTAACCCCTCCTCAGGATCGATGACCTTTTTAATCAGTTGCAGGGTGCACATAATAAATTATCTGAATTTGATGAACAGAATTTTCAGATAATTCCTGGATCAGTTCTTCATTGTATTTATCGATGATATTCTGGTCTATTCAAAAAGTAGAGAGGAACACGCTCACCATCTGTCAAGTTATACATGTTCTCAAAGAATTTGTATGCAAAGTTGAGTAAGTGTAGGTTCTGTGTCGAATAGACTACCTTTATATGGCACATCATATCAAAGAATGGAGTGTCAGTGAACCCTGAAAAAGTTGAGGCAATGCTCGGCTAAGAAACATTAACCTCGGTTAAGGAGATTCGTAATTTTATGGGGATGGCAGGTTATTACCGTAAGTTCATGAAAGGATTTTCTAACCTAGCTACTCTTTTGACTCGACTCACAAAGAAGAACGTCAGTTTGAGTGGAACGAGAAATGTGAAATGAGTTTTTCATAACTAAAGAAATTGTTGACTACTGCACCTATGTTGGCCTTACCGAGCAGTATAGGGGGATATACAGTTTATAATCATGTCTCCTACCTAGGGTTGGGTTGTGTTCTGATGCAACATTAGAAGGTCATAGCTCATGGGTCCAGACAATTGAAGAGTCATGAGAAAAACTACTCCACCCATGGCTTAGAACTTGTCGTGTTTATACACGCCTTGAAAACTTTGTGTCATTACTTGCATGGGGAGACCTTTCAGATCTATACCAATCATAAGAGTCTGAAACACATATTCACTCAAAAGGATCTCAACATGTGTCAGAGAAGATTGATAGAACTCCTCAAGAACTACACTTATAACATCTTGTATCACCCATGTAAAGGCAACGGAGTAGCCGATGCACTCAGCAAAAAAGGCGCAAGTATATTAACTCACCTAATGGTTCCAAAATGTAAGGCAATAGGGGCCGTACAACAGGTACGATTTCAGGACCTGAAAAGAGTTACATGTTTGGCCCACCTAACTGTTCAACCTGAGTTGATCTAAAGAATAAAGGAAGTTCAATCCATCGATTCCACCCAAGTACCCATCAAGAAAGATGTAAACAGGGAGTAAATTCTGAATTTTGAGTCTTTTCTAATGGGTTGCTTAGATTTCAGGACATGGTGTATGTTCCATGTGACAGTGAGCTAAAAATGGACATCATGACAGAGGCTCATACCTCAAAGTTTGTCATGCATCCTGGAAGCACTAAGATGTATCAAAGTATGTGACTCCGATTTTTGTGGAACGAAATGAAAAGAGATGTGGCCGACTTTATTTTTAAGTGTTTAGTATATCAGCAAATCAAGGCAGAGCATCAATGTCCAGGTGGACTATTTCAGCCATTACCAATTCTATAGTAGAAGTGAGAACACATCACAATAGATTTATGACAGGATTGCTTAGGATACACTCAGGACATGATGTTATTTAGATAATTATTGACTGGCTCACCAAGTCTTCCCATTTCTTGGCTATCAAGATCACCGACCTCTTAGACAAGCTAACAAGAATGTATATATGGGAGATAGTCAGGTTACATGGAATGCTAGTGTTTCTATATATGTGAAGCGTATTTTAATCTCTGCAATAAAATTAGGAAATCCGGGGACCGCCAGTAAGTACAGCTGAAAGTTTAGTATTTTGGACACCGATCTGGGTAAGAATCTCTCACCTTATTTTCTGTTATGGAATTGAAGTTTAATTATCAATAATACGGTATTTTGCATAATTTAGAAAATTTTGAGAATTAATTATATATTACTAATGAAAACAGAACCGGTTATCTATTATTGTTGTCATGTTTAACTGATTGATTGATTTTACAGCTTTAAATGCATGATAATATACCAAAATAGTAAAATAATTCAGTTGTGTTTCCTTAATGCATGTATTGTTTGTCTTGCATTGACTTACGGTTAAATTGTGAAATTGAAAATTAAATGTAAATAGAAAATTTATTAATTAAGTGAATGAATGAATGTTAGCTTTAATGGATAGCTTGGGAAATGGTGGACTGGGTACATAGAGAACTCTACCGTAAACGTCGCCTTATACCGGACGAGGTATTGAGAATTAGTATTTTGGCGCTCATAACAGACGATATATGAGAATAGCCCGTTTCACCCTCATACCGAACGGGGTATTAAAGGATAGCATTTTTAGCGTTAATACCAGATGAGGTGTGGGGACAGTCAGTTAGTTGACAATATTGAATAATGGTTCGGGTGTAGTAGAGACATCCCTATAGACTCCATGGATACTAGTAGACAAATAAAAAAGAAAAATTGTCATTCTTACTTACTTGAATATGAGATTATAATGTTGTTGAGCTATTATCTCTATTGGTCGATTTTGAAAATCTCGCCACGGTAAATATGCAATAAATTGTTTTACTTATGATAAATGAATTACTTAAATTAAAAACTTCTTAGTTATTTTTATGATTTTTACCAATCTTCATTTATGTATCAATGAGTAGTGTAATATTTTTACTACGCTAGTATACCTCACTCTTTATTTAACCATTTCATATCAAGATAATCAAGATTCAGACCTCGATCAATAAGAGTGTTGTAAATAATTCACTACCCGAACTCCTTCTAAAAACTAATAAAGATCGTCCTAAAATACCTAATTTTTTATTTTTTATTTGTTTCTTGATTTTTCTTCTATTCTTTTAGAAAGATTATTCTCGTAACCCTATTGGATATTCTAAATTATTGTGTAAGGAATGTAAACTCTAACTCTATTATTTCGCTTCCGCATTCAATTTATGATTTTATTTTCTTCAAAATTTCGGGTCGCTACATTTTTTATCCTTCAAAGAATGTGCATGAACTCTGATACTATTTATTAGTTTTTTTCAAAATGGTAATAATCATTTTTATCAAATAAATAATAACAAGTTACATCATATCATTGAAACTATGACAATCCAGGAACAAAGAAGAACCACAAAACTGAAAATCAAATAAAGAAATATAACCCAAAATAGCCCAAAATTTTTCAAAATTTTAACACAATAAAATCAGCTAGATATGGTGCCAAATGGTGCCCAAAGCTTTGTACACCGAAGGTTAGCAATCCCCGAATCCTCCTCGCACAAATAAAAGGCAGCCAGAAGACATGCATAGCTAGGACAATCACTAATTAAAAATCAACTTAGATGTAAGATAATAACACACCAAATGGAACCATTAATTAAACAATCTAAAGTACAAGTTTGGAACACATGAACTTTCTTACAACCAACTTCGAAGTAACACATACAAATAAATAACTACTTACACGCCTGTATGTAGCTAGCAATATAACGTTTTGATTCTTTCCAGTCTGCATCACGAGAGGCTCCATACATACAAGCATACAAACATATATATATATATATATATATATATATATTCAAAGAGTTTTTTCATCTATCAACAAGGAAACCATTGTAGATTCAACTTCAGCTTCCCATATGTTGGCATGAAAGAAGGTGTCTTCAGCAGAAGCATTACCAGCAGGCTGCTGCTGTTCCAGATTCATAAATGCATTTTCATTATTAATTATCAAAGAGTCCAAGAATGCAGAAAAAGTGTCCTCATTAGAGTTTTGTATATAATCTTCGTCATTATTGTTGTGTCCATGGCCGCTTGATGGTAACGGATCCACCATAAAACCATCAAAGTGATTCTCCATAAGTACCCCATCAATCATTTGCTGATTATAGAACTTATCACAATCTAAACGGTCCTGGTCGTGATCATCAACTCTTCTAGGAATGGGTGTCGCAGGTAATTCATGCAGGTTCAAAGAATTTGGTGGAGGATTTTGCAGTGAATCAGGATTAGGGTTTAAGTTGATGGGCTTGTGGGTTCTTGGATCTATTCCTTGGCTAATGAGCTTCTTGCTGATATGAATGTTCCAGTAATTTTTTATCTCATTATCTGTACGGCCTGGAATTCTTCCAGCTATCAAAGACCACCTGAGAAAGTGCTTAATTATTACATATATATATATAATATAGAAAAGATATATAAGCCTAATAACGAAGAGCAAAGTAACCCGCAGGACAGACACCCAGCCAACTAGAATATAACTAAGTGATACCAAAAGCAAAGAACTCAAGAGCCTATATATACATATAATTCTTGATATATATGTATACACATACACATCTGGATGTATATAATTCTTGAAATCAGTTCCAGTGATCCAAAACTTAGATATTTAAGCATTCAGGAAGAAAGAAATTACCGTTTCTCAGTGTATAATACCCTAACAGACCAAACACTCTTTGTGTACATATATATGTATATATGTGTATAGACACACGGGTATGCAGCAGATGGTCGAATTCTTGGGAGTTTAGGAAGAGTACCTGTTACCCAGCAAGCGATGGAGACGAATAATGAGATCTTCTTCATCTGGAGCAATACGACCCCGTTTAATAGAGGGTCGCAGGTAGTTCATCCACCGGAGTCGGCAGCTCTTGCCGCACCTCTGCAAGCCGGCCCGCGAAGGCAGAGTTCGCCACCGACCTTCGCCTTCTCTCTTGATGTAGGTTGCCAAGAGTTCATCTTCCTCCGCCGTCCACGGCCCTCTCTTTATCCCCTCCGGCGTCTTTCTTGTAATCGATGCTGATGAAGAAGACGCAGATGGTTTCCTCATATTATCAAATAATTATTTCTTAATGATTTTTTTGGCAGGTTTTTAGGGCAGATGTCAGCGAAGGTGTTCTTTAAACTAAGCAAGCAAAAATAGAGAGATCTGGTCGATCGCGAGACTTACAGTGCTGTATGTGAATTATATATATATATATATATATATATATATATAATGTGACAAAACTCTTTATGGATATCATCAGGTTTCTATAGGTGCATCAACTCATGACTTGGGTAGTGTCTTATTAATTACTAATTAGTATATAGATATATATATATAATTTTTTTTTTTTTTTTTGTGGTTAACAGATATTGCAATTTACATTTGGATTAATCAAATTCTTCAATTTAATTGAAGGCAAAATATGAGATTTTGAGAAAATTAGGCTCTCTCTGATGCATGAAAATGTTTTTATTTTTTGGTTTTTTCTTAAAGTTTATATATATATATATTATTTACAAAATCATAATTGAGTTAGCGACAAATGAAGATACTTAGGATAAAAATGAAGATAAAAATATAAAATTTTAAAACAGTATTTTAAATTTTTATTTATCTTTTATTATTTCACAACTAATATATAAGTCTTACAAATTTTTATACACATGTAAATTTAGAAAATAAAAACTTAAAAAATATTTTCATGTGCAAAATGAGACCTTTATATATATATATAAATATATATATATATATATGTTCCTAATTATATCTTTTAATCATTTCTTTTGTTAATTAAATATAAGATCTTAGACACACACACACACACACATATATATATCCTTCTTCTTTTTTTCAAGGAAAAAATTACGGCTTATTTAAGAACAATCAATTTACCATTTAATGAACCCATGAATTAAATGAATTATTTTGGATAATAAGCATGAAATTCTTAACTAGTAATTTGTAAAATTAAAGTGCATTACATAAGATATTTTTATTTATATAAATTCATTGAGCTCCATGAAATTAAATTACGTTGTGACGTACAATTCAATTTTGTAATATGTTGAAAAAACTGTGATGATTAAGTTTGATTTAGTTTTAATAAATTTATTGAAAGTTAGATTTAGTCTTCAAAAAATTTTATTATATTTTTATGTAAAAAAAAATGTTATATAATAATTAAAATACATTATTAAGAATTTGAAAAAGATTGGCAATTCATTAAAAAATCAGTGCCTTCAAATAATTCACATATAAAACAATATATAAATATATGTATGTATTTTTTTTATATAATGTCTTCTAAAAACAAAACTAATGTCATAGTTAAGCACAATTAACTTAATAAAACATATAAACTTAATAATTGAACTTATCTGAAATGGTTCTATTAAATCATTACTCTTTAATTTGTTGAGTTGTAGATAACCTTCATGATGAACAAAAGTGACTGAAGTTGATTTCCTCATCCCATATAGTGGAACCATACTAGGCATAACTTCTGCCTCCCAAATTGCGGCATCCATGTTCAAATGAGTTCTAACGAGGGAATTATATTTAGATAATTCCTTATTGTATAAGGTTGCTCCGGCTGATTAAGAAGTTGTGCATTTTATTTATCAAAAAATCCAAGAACGAAGAGAACGTTTCATCATCCGAGTTTTTGATTGTATAATCTTTATCATTGTCGTGCATGCATCCACTTGGTAACTTCATAGTCAAGTCATCATGGTCATCAGCAATTCCATTATGTTGAAACTGATCATCATGATTTCAAGCGTTAGATGTCATAGAGCAGATGGGTTTGTAAAGGATTAGGATTAGGGTTTTGATGTAGAATGAAGCTTGAATCATGGAGGATAGGGTTATCAATGTTTAAGGGGTTGTGAGTTCTTGGATCAGATCCTTGACTAATAAGCATTAGATGTCAAAGACCACTTGAGAGATGGATTCTAACACTAGAGATTAAATTATTATATGTACAGTTCATATATGTATGAAACAGTGTCCCAAAAGAAAGAACCTAATTAATAATGGTTGTCGATTTTGGAATTAATTATTCAATATAATTTGAAAAATATTAATAAGAAATATCCCAAAAAAGAAAGCATAAAAACACGCAAACAGAGGATATCTTTAGGATATGTATATATGTATGTGCACATATACATAGTGTCTTTGAGAAAGGAAATAAGAACTTCATGATTCACGGTTAAACCCCAAAAAAGAAAACCAATGCTATATATATATATATATAAGAAGAGAAATATAATAATACCAGTAGCCATACGTAACTATTACACAGTAAGCGATCGAAGCGGAGGATGAGATCTTCCTCCATCAGAAGCAATACGACCCCGTTTAAGAGAGGGGCGGAGGTAATCCGTCCATCAGAGGTGGCAACTGTTTCCGCATCTCTGCAAGCCCGCCCGGGCAGGCAGCGTGGGCCACCAGCCTTCGCCCTCTCGCTTGAGATAGTTGACCAACAACTCATCCTCCTCCGCCGTCCATGGCCCTCTCTTTAACCCCACCTTCATGTAACAAGCCCTACTACTTCTGCTCCTTGACGCAGAAGATGATGATATGATGATGGCAGGTTCCTCAAATAATATGTATATATACACACACACACATATAATACTACAGGGTTTGACGGGTGGTTTTGTTGGTTGGTTTGAGGATTTTAATTAGTTATATGGAGACAGGTGAATAGAGAGTTAGATAATGTATAGGGGAGGTAGGCAGCGAACGTATACATATAGAGAGTTAGATAATGTATAGGGAAGGTAGGCAGCGAATATATACATATATATATATATATGTATATGGAGTTAGACAGAATGTATATTCTTCAATGTTTTCATTTCTCACTAATTTTATGGAATTTTGCTTCTTTATTTCTTTCCCTCAAGTATTATATTAATTCATGGTTTTTTGGGTTCTCTCTTATTAATTAATTCATGTATAGTATATCCAATAAGCACCTATATATATATATATATATAATATAAATGGATCGTCAAATTTTACATTTTGTTCAATTTATTAAAAATTTCAACTTTCATTTTGAACAATTTAAATAGATTGTGTTCTTCCTAAAAAGAAAGTACATTATATTGATTACACCCACAAGCCTAACATTTCAACTAATTGTGTTTGAGTCCGGTATCAGATGACAATGTCATATGGTAAAAAATTTCATATCAACATTTTTAATTACTGAAACAAAAATGTTTAAAATAAAAATTATTTTATCTTGTTATATGATTTTAATAAACAATAAATTAGTATAACATCTTGCTTACTAGTTATGGTCACACAAAAAATAATATTATCAATATTAACAAAAATTATAGGCCATTAGCAGCCATTTCCAATTTGTTTCAGCTCGTATGAACAGAGAAGACAGATTACACCTTGGGAAAAAATTGGTGCACTTGACATCAACATCAAATTTCGGCTAAATTAAAACATAAACAAAATATGGCAACACATAAGAACGTATTCTGTGATAAAATAAAGACTTCATCTAATTCGAAATTTTCGGAATTTGGAAGTCTACTCTTGTTTCTTGAGGGCTTGATTAGCTTCACCTGCAGCAGATTGGTTTATGCTGGCTTTTGCCTCTGCAAGGAATGCAGGATCCGGCTCATGTTTGTCTGAAGGTTCTTTCATCGCCATGCAAATGTAGAATGCAATCACAATATTCACTGATATTACAGCAAGAAATCCGCTCAACAGTGTCAGAGAATGAGGAGATAAGCTGTCTGAACCTGTTCCAAAACATTCAAGTTCCAAACATAATGAATAGCATGAGATATGTGAGTAGCTGATGTGGAATTCAAAGTATTGTTAACATGCACCGGCTTTAGATTCAACTCAGGTTTGAGGCATCACCGACATTGTTTGCTTAACAAGCAAATGTTAAAAGTAATACAATGTTATGATGCCCTCCTATAAAAAACCACAAGGAAAAGACCAATTGAGTCAATAGCTAACACCCATTTGAATGAATAAAAACCCCACCGTGCCTTCTATTTTTATAAATGTCTCCAAATTGTAGTGTTTGAAACCACTTGCATGATAAGAACACAAAAGAAACAATTTTTTTTTTTAAATACACAAAAGAAACAATTTTAAAGATGAAAAACTTCAATTAGTATTGCAATTTGTTATAAACCTTTTTTCTACAGACCATAACAGTTCTCAGTGAAAAATCAGAACCTTGCCAGTCATCACACCATACAACAAACCTAAGATGTCCCTGCACCGTATAAGTTCATATACAGTAGCAGCTCCTTTTTAAACAATTGATGCTAGACTTGCTAACCAGTTCTTTAGTTTCAAGTAGATATGATGTATCTTAAACAATAGAGGAACTTGGACTTGGAAGGAGAGGAAAAGGATTTTTCTTTTTGAAATAAAATGTAATGTGTATATTAACAAGGTACCAAAATAAGGGGTACCAAAAATGAGAGGAAAATGATACTACGGGAACATAAAATAAAGAAATGTGAAAGAATGCTAAAATATTCACTTATTCTGATTTTCAATTGAAAGAGAAGAGAGGGTGTCCTCTCGCTCCCATTGGAAAGTGGACACGAGAAAGAAATATAAATATTCTGTGTAAGCCCCAGGTTTCCAAAACTTTTAAGGTAACCCATAAATAAAGAAACAGAACTCATAAACTGGAAGATTTCATGTTTTCTTTAGCTTAGAGATTTCCAATGCTTTCACATGCCATTCGTCATACCTTTTTGTATCAGTTTGGTGAAGACAAGAAAATAAGTCAAGCAGTTATTTTTCTCAAATTTTAAATAGATGGCAGCTAACAATCATAGCAATGCTACTTTGACTAACAGGTTAGCCAATGTTGTCTCAGAATTGATATGAACATTTTTAATAACAACAAACTGCCAAGGAATTTGCTTATATGGAGCATGCTGCTAAAGATTATGTAACATGAAAGATAAATTTTTGGAGAGAAAGTGATCCATTTGTTACATGAGAATATTTTCTAACTTTCATTTCCTAAATTATTATAACTAAAAACATCTAGGTTAATAATAAAGAAAAAAGATAGTAAAAAAAGATGCTGATGATTGAAATTTTCAAAATACTGTTTTTAATCATTTTTGGTCCTTCATTCCTTCATAAACACATCATCCTCATGGATGATTCATGAAAAAACATATACATAGAGAAACTTAATAAAGATATAGCAAAAGAAGCCTACTTTTTATTGAGGGAAACAGCAACATTCGTCTTTCTAAAACAAAAATTTCCCAATATTAGAACTGCAGGACTTGAATATTTAACAACACAACAAACTTACCAGGAAGCATGTTATGGTTAAAACCATATAAAATCACAACAGGAAGCATCCACATGAACATCGATGCAATAAAGAACTTCTTAATGACTGCTGCCATTATTACCACAAAATCCTAACATGAAATAAAATGCAATGTCAATCGTCAACACAGTTAGCCAAAAAGAAAACCTTAAATCAAACATTAAAAAGAATGAGAAAAGGAGAAAGTAAAAGGATAACTAAATAATGAGATTTAACAATTAAGAAGAGAAACAGAATTGTTTTCATGTACACTTGAAACTTACAACTGAAAACACAAAAAAACGGTATAAGAGGACTCGCAGGTTTTATGACCTATGGCATGATAACCTGGAGTCTGACCCAAGCAGATCTTGGGTTTGATCACACTGGTGTTTTTAAGGACATCTTTCCAACATGTGATTCTTTACTCTCATGTAGAAGGTTAATAATATATCTTTTCACATGTATAGGAATAGAAATCAAGTACTAAAGTTGAAACACAAAGCTTCTTTCTACTTTCATTGAACGAAAAAGTTACCCATTTTTGTTCTTAATTTCTGATCAATCAAATGCAAGAGAGAGAGAGAGAGAGAGAGCACTTTCTTCTTAATCAATTAAACTCAAACCACCAACAAAAATACTTCCTATTTTTTCAGCCCTTGTATCTCATAGAAGTCATAGTGAAAAAATTAACGCCTTTTATCAGACAGATAATAGAATAGCAAACTCTCTGCTTATAACTTTGTTTTGCAACTCTTCCTTAAAAGCAAATGCTATAGTACACGTCAGTGTCTAAATATTCTAGAGAGACCAATTCAAAGAAGGATTGCTAATGATGTTAAACATATAAACACCAAAAATTAACTGAAGGAACGGCAAAGAAATATTGGAGAACAAGTATAAGAAGTCAAGAACCATTAGGTCTCTCATCCAGATAAACAAATTTTGACCATCAACGAGTGATGTTAAACATATAAACTCCAAAAATTAACTGAAGGAATGGCAGAGAAATATTGGAGAACAGGTATAAGAAGTCAAGAACCATTAGGTCTTTCATCCAGATAAACAAATTTCGATCATCAACGAGGAAAGATGGTCAAAAACCTAATGGTTAAATCTTTAATATATTTGTTTTTTTCTAAAAAAGAACATATAGATTCAAATATGAGTTTGGGAACTTAACTAAATGTGAAAAGTGTTAAGCATCTCCCTGTAATGCTTAGTGATTGAAATTAGGACATTGTAAAAATTATAGACCTATCTAAATGCATGTGCAAAAGTGAATAAAAAATCAAAACTTACTTTATGGCCTAAATAAATCTCACCGTCACTTCACTCAAAGAAAAATTAACTAATTAAAGGGAAAATTTCTGAACAAAAATAAAATAGAGATTGAATATTCTTCTATTGCTTAAATCTTTGAGTTGGCTACTCTTGCATAATAACAATTAGTATGATCTCAAAAAATAACAAAAGAAAAGAGACGACACTACATTTGCAAATATAAAATGTTAACTTCATACAAGCACAAAAAACAAACAATGATGACAGAGAATGTTTGACAATAGGAAAGTCTCAACTCCTAAATATCAAAAAACTTGCACATAAAATAAAAATTTGCCGAAGTGTAAAATAGACATTATATACACATATATAAGCCATGACAAGCTGAGTCTAACAAGCGCAAAACGAACTTGTCAGTGGCTAGCCTAAAAATACTTGAAGAGAGAATCCTTAAGAATGTGTCCCCCAAAAGGAACAATTCCTTCTTCTGGAAAGGGATTTTAGAAATAAGAAAACTACTAAATAGAGATTGTTGAAGGCTAAATTGGGAAGGAAAAAAATACAAGTATGATGCTTGATTCCCCTTTCAGAGGCACTCAATCCAAGTTGTAACATTGTTCCAGGCCTTACCATGTAAACCAAGTTGTAACATTGAGTTACTCCATGTTCTAAATCAAAATTTTCCTAGAAATACTGCTGAATGCATTTCAAAAATAAAAACTTTTCCAATTCCCCTTGTGAATGCAACGGGGTTGGATCTCAAACTCTAAGGAAGTTTTTGACACTAAATCTGCATATCAGTTCTGCTGCAGTAACTCTAATGCTTTAATCCCTTCTCCAAGGCTTGATTCTGATTCCAGAAGATTGAACGGAAAGATACAAGTTATTATAGTAGCGAAGTTTGCACAAAAGCCTCCCAGGTTTATGTACTCAATCTATGCAAAATCCTAATTGTTGCTATCTATGTGGCTGTGGTGATGATATATATGAGCATATCTTCCTTAAATGTCACTTAGCCAGAATATTGTGGCCAGAATCTGAATGAAGTATTTTTATTGATCCTCCTAGGTTTGTGTATTCAATCTATGCAAAGTCCTAATTGTTGCTATCTCTGTGGCTGTGGTGACGATACATACGAGCATGTCTTCCCTAACTGTCACTGAGCCAGAATATTGTGGCTACAATCTGAATGGAGTAATTTTATTGACTCTTGGACCAATGGAAGATTGATTTAACTACTTAATCAATCAAAAGCTCTCACTACAGACTGCGTTCACGGTATCGGAAGAATCCTCCTATATGCTTCTACTACAGTAGACATAATCTATTACCGAAAGAACAAAGCTACGCACGAAGGTTTCATTATCAATCCAACAACATGCATCACAACAATCAAATGTATCTACAGAAGAAAACAATCATCATCCTCATTTCCACATCCAAAAAGACGCAAATAACCATGAATATGAATAAAGGAAGACCGCTTACTCGCGATGCGGCAGTAAAGGAAAATGAAGCCTCCACAGCAGCGTTGTCGTCCGATTCCTACAGTTATCCGGCTCTTTCGTAGGTGAGACAAGTAGAAGATCCTAGTTTCCTTCAAGATGAGACTGAAGCTCTCCTTCTGGCAGCAAAACCGGCGGTAGATCCGGGATCGCCGAACGCACAACTGATCTGCAGTGATCCATTTCTCTCCTCTTCATCTAAGAAATATTATCCTCAATCAGCGAATTGAACCAGCCGAGAATGGCATCCGACGGCTGGGCTCAATGTTGATGGACCTGGATTGCTACAGTTTAGTTGAGCCTAGTGGGCTGCAAGATATAATTCTAAGTCATTTCTATTTATAAATTATTAAAAATTAAAATTAAAATTAAAATTTTTAAGATTTAAATTAAAATAATTTTCTTACCTTTTTTTTTTTAAATTAAGAGCAAAAGTCAAACTCAAATTTAGATACATGAATGTGTTAAATATTTAAATAAAATATGATGTAAATAAAAAATAAAAATTAATTTATTTAAAAAAATTAATTCCAAATAAATTAGGCATATAAATACAAACCAACACTTTTTTCTTATAAAATAATTTCATACACCAAATAGTCTCTTTCCAATACTTGAACCACCAAGATTAAAACATTATTATAATCTAATAATCAAATCAATAATATGTACATATAAATAATATTTTTTAAAAAAAATTATATTTGTATTTATTTTATTATAAAAATATAATAATTTTTTTTATATTTAATCCAATTTATGTACCCACTTGGTGATAGAATTTTGTTATATATATATATATATATATATATTTATAATATAATATAAAGAAAAGGCAAGAGGGTTTTGGTATATCCACCCATATTCTTTTTTTTTTTTTTTATGTCTATCTAACCTCTCCTGACATGACATATATATATATATATATATATGTACACAATAAGTATTTATAATGGCGTTAAATATATTTATTTTGAATAAATTTAGAGTTTAGCAAATGGGTGCATGCATAGAATCTTCTTTGTGCCTCCAAGTGGCAACTCTTTGTGCCTTAACCATTGTTTTGGCTTGTGTGGTTGACTTGGTTTAGGAGACATTATGACAAAATTAAGCACTTAATTAATCTTATTTTTTAATTATTTTTGTTTAATTATCTTTATTTTATCATTCAATGACGTTTAAACCAAACAAAAAAAAAAATTATCTTTCATGTCCTTAATTAAACTTATTAGTTCTCTTGTCTGTTGAAGATTCTTATGGAATCATCAATCTTCTAAATCTGAAATCAAATGTAGAACATTAATTAATTAGTATGGTGAATTAATAATAATTTATGTAATTAGTTGATATCGACCAATTAATTATTTTTTTTATGTTTATCGAAAGGTAGAGAATTTTATAATTTTTAATTTTAAATCTATATTTTGATTTTAGTTTTTGGCAAAATCACGTTATATTTTATCTATTTCGATATAAAAATATTTTTAAAACGTAAAAACCGGAGTTAAAAGCTATAGTAAACAAACTCCAAGTATTGAAAAATAATTTGTCCACAAAGTCTTGGCTATAAAATAAAATAAAATTGTAAACCAACATGCAGAGAGAAGCAAGAACAAGTCTCTGTAATATTTGTATAAAAAAACTCATTCATCAAACATATAAATCCCAAATGTCCATAGACATCCAAACAAGGAAAAACAACCATTTGGGGAGATGAAAACAATCCCATCTTCTTCTTTAAATCAAACCCTTAATCTCCATCTTCTCCTTCTTCCTCACCATCCTCTTTCTCTCCATTAATTTCCTTCTATCCAAACAGCTTTTTCAACTATGGAAATTCATTTCCAGCAACAGAACCAGTACAAAAGACCAAGTACTAGCAATCCAGCTGCTGCAACCAAAGTAAACAGATCATCATGCAAGTCCAGAAATAAAGCCAATGGTACTAACAAGTTTGTTGGTGTAAGGCAAAGGCCTTCTGGCAAATGGGTAGCTGAGATCAAAGACACAACACAGAAGATCAGGATGTGGCTTGGTACCTTTGAAACTGCTGAAGAAGCTGCTCGAGCTTATGATGAAGCTGCTTGTCTCCTCCGAGGATCAAATACCAGGACCAACTTCATTACTCATGTCTCCTTGGACTCCCCTCTTGCTTATCGAATTCGAAACCTGCTTAACAGCAAAAGAGGAGGTAAACAGCAACAAAGTGTGATTGACGAAGACTCACCATGTTCATCCAATAAAACAGCTACTACTACTACTACTAGTCCTAACATTGATGATCCAGGCAGTAGCAGTAGCAGTTGTAGTGAAAATTCACCTTCTGGTACTGATCAGACACTTCAAGATTCCCAGTTGTTTGATGACGCATATAAACCAGACTTGAGTAATTGCAGAGCGGAGTTTCAGCAGATGGGTTCTTCTCAATCTGATTTTTCTTGGGGGTTTGATCGGTTTTTGTGCACTCAAGAAGTACTGGAGCTGACAAATAGTGGTGTTCTGGAAGAGGGAAGTTCTAACCAAGAGTTCTCAGAATTTGAGAGAATGAAAGTTGAGAGACAGATATCAGCTTCTCTATATGCTATAAATGGAGTTCAAGAGTATATCGAGACTGTTCATGATCCTAATGAAACCTTATGGGATCTTCCACCTTTGTGTTCTTTATTCTGCTGAATTCTGAATGGCTCTATTAGATCACTAAACAACCCCTCTTTTCACTTTTCTTCTTCTACTACTTTTGTTTCTTTTTCTTGTTAAATATAAATTCAGAGAGCATATGATTTACAACTCCTGCAAAAGTAGAATGATAACAAGCAAAATACTTCCTTAGATGAACATAGGAATTCTCTGGGTTACTTTTGCTTCAGCTGTTTTAAGTCAGACTTTTCTTTTTTCTGTGAGGAAGGTCTTTTTAATCATAATATCTGCAAAGTCTAGGCAATCATATTGATTTAAATATCTTAACAATATCTATATAGACACGTCATACATATATATAAGGACAAGAAATATAATAAATTCTCAATATAATTTCTAATATTGTTTCATAGCAGAAGAGGAGAGAGTGGAGTTTGCTTTCATTCAATGAGAAAATAAATTGTTGATGACTTAGATGTGACATACAAGATGATGAATTCCAATCCAGTGCGTGTAGCTCTACTGATGGTGGGATTTAATAATGAATAATAAATTTTCTATCTGCAATGTCATGAACTTATCTTGATTCAGTTGCAACCAAACCTTTCACATGACCACAAACACTATCCTCTTTATGACTCAGAAAAAAAAAATCTTTTTGCTTCTCAAGTTTTCCGTGTTCATTTTATTCAGCTCAGAAGATAAATTCAGAAGAAACTAATACTTAAAAGGACTAATCTTCATCATCTCACATTGTTAATATCTTGAGAATTCGATCACAGTATAAGTTTAAAGAATTTTCAGTAATTAACACTTCTGGGTTATGGTCTGTGGAGTTCTAATGTTTTTTCTAAGAGCTTTTTTGGCTAAATGCTTTGAGAAACCCGGTTCTGGTTCTGGATCCAAGAAGATCTTTAGAACAGAAGAAGTCTATGAAAACCAAGAAGAAGACACAATACATATATGTATACATAATCAGAACTCTTTAGTCCCCCTATCACACATATATCTATAACCAAGAACATAAATTTATGTCAACCCTATTGGTTTCCCTCCCTTTAGTTTCTTGCTAATCAGGGAAACATTTCAATTGTTCATAATTAATTTTTGTTACAAAAGTCGTGTTTGAAGATGTATTTGTTTATTATGCGCAGCACAACGAAGCAGTTTTCCATTCAAATGCTTGATTCAGTTGATCAAGAATACAAACAAGTTATCGTACTTGGCTAACTAGTTTAAGCACAGAGCCAAAACACAAGAGGTGGACCCGAATTATAGATAGCGTTGCAAAGAAAGAATCGTGGAAATACACAGGATAGAAAAACACATCCACAAAGATGAGGACGAATTGGTAAACAGCTTCTGCTACCTTCAAATGATTACTACTAGTAATCTTCTGGTTCTTCCTCCTCGGTACCATCAGCACCAACCTCCTCATAGTCTTTTTCGAGGGCAGCAAGATCCTCACGTGCTTCTGAGAATTCACCTTCCTCCATGCCTTCACCTACATACCAATGAACAAATGCCCGCTTGGCATACATGAGATCAAACTTATGGTCAATTCGGGAGAAAACCTCAGCCACGGCTGTGTTGTTGCTGATCATACAAACGGCACGCTGCACCTTGGCAAGGTCACCACCAGGTACCACTGTTGGTGGCTGGTAGTTGATACCACATTTGAACCCAGTTGGGCACCTGAAAATCACAACACACAACAGTTTAGATTTAAAGGAAAAGACATGCTATATAAAGGGCATCTCTTCCTGACCCCGTGCAGACCCTGAATCCCACTCCCAATTCTGAGCCTAGCTCTGGAAATACATGTATTTAGATATCTGTTACATTGGATATAACTTTTAAAATGCATAATGTGCCTAATAACATTATCCCACAATCAGAAATTGTTGACGAGATCACTCGGGTTCGAACTGATATTAATAATCTGCTAAGTTAATGATCAGAGTCTTTCAAAGTTCCAGAGATGATCACAACATTGGATTATAAGACTAGACAATGATGCAGTGAAAAGCGAACAGAAGCTAAACTTGTAGAATTGAGATAGTGATGGGCCATAATATTATAAACCATGGCTGTTGTGACTATTTATAACTGTTATGCAAAATGCTAGGGATGCCTACTCACCAATCAACAAACTGAACTGTGCGCTTTGTCTTGATGGAAGCAACAGCAGCATTGACATCCTTAGGCACCACATCTCCACGATACATTAAACAGCACGCCATGTATTTCCCATGTCTTGGATCACATTTTGCCATCATATTTGAGGGTTCAAAGACAGAGCTTGTGATCTCAGGAACTGATAGCTGCTCATGATAAGCCTTTGCAGCTGAGATAACTGGTGCATAAGATGAGAGCATGAAATGGATACGAGGATATGGAACTAGATTTGTCTGAAATTCTGTAATGTCCACATTAATGGCACCATCAAATCTCAAGGAGGTGGTTAAAGAAGAGATAATTTGGGATATTAAGCGATTCAAGTTGGTATATGTTGGTCTTTCGATGTCTAAAGATCTCCTGCAGATATCATATATAGCTTCATTGTCCAGAAGCACGGAAACATCAGTGTGCTCAAGGAGAGAATGAGTGGAAAGGACACTATTGTAAGGTTCCACAACAGCTGTAGAAACCTGCATAACCAGAAAACTTGTCCATAAGGGAGTCCCATGCAGAGAGAGCAAGCCTTTGGAGAAAAAGCAGCTAATATAAACAAAGATTTCTAGGAAATATTCCATGCCAAAAGATTTGCTTTCATAAGTTTTTATCCTCCATCAAAATTTCAAGAAATTTTTGTTTATAAAGCTCACAGGAAAATCTGCACAGTCCAGATCTTCAAATTTGGGTGATTTCACCTCCTTCAAATTCATGATTCATCACATCCTGAGCATACAGATAACCAATGTTCCCTCTTTTCGCAACAAGACTCTCGTTCATGCACTAGTCATGAAGATAATAGTGCTTTACCTAGCAGAAAACTCCCACCTAACAGTAACATTCTGAAATCATTGTCAATGTCTTCAGGGAAGTACCTGAGGAGAAGGATAGATGGTGAAGGCAAGTTTTGACTTCTTTCCATAATCTACAGACAGACGCTCCATAAGCAACGAACCTAAACCAGAACCAGTGCCACCTCCAACAGCATTGAACAGCAAAAATCCTTGCAGACCAGTGCAATTGTCAGCTAATTTTCTCAGCCGGTCTAGGCAAATATCAACAATTTCCCTCCCAACTGCAGCACAAAACACAAAGGAGGTAACTTATGCAGACAGATTATGATTAAAGTTGACATGTTGAAATTGTGGTAAAAAAGGTGTGCCTGTATAGTGTCCCCTGGCAAAATTATTAGCAGCATCTTCTTTCCCAGAAATTAGCTGCTCCGGATGAAAAAGTTGTCTGTATGTTCCAGTTCTAACTTCATCAATGACAGTGGGTTCCAGATCAACAAATATAGCTCTGGGCACATGCTTGCCTGAACCAGTCTCGCTGAAGAAGGTATTAAAAGCATCATGTGCTACACCTACCGAGGTGTCACTGCAATTGATATGAAAGGAAAAAACTCTGTAAGCATACAAAATAAAGAAACGGCAAAACAATGGGGCGCAAAATTCTATTGTTCTGAGATTGATTCCAAATTTATATCCAGAAATTCCAGCTACAAAATAAAAACTAAGCGCAGCACATCATAAAGCCTTGAACCAAGCCAAAGAAGAAGCAAGGCATGAATGCAAATCCATGTGTAGGAGAGCCATATTGCAGGACATCTTATACAACAACCCAGATAATCATAAACAGACTCCTGTCTTTACTTGTGTATATATGTATATATTATGTCTTTTTTCCAAAGGCTGCCTCGTTGAATTGTTTGATTATACGGTATGTTTCAACTCCTGCATATCTATCTTTTATTGAATTTCAATTTCCATGAAACCTGATTATTTATGCATCTTTTTATCCAACTGAGAACAAAAAAAAAAGACTTTTTCCTAAAGTTGTTCCATAATTCATGCTATAAAAAAAAACATCAACAACGGGGAAAGGAGCTCAATTAGCAAGAAATAAGAGAAAATACCCATTCACATCATGTCAAATGAACAATCATTTGAATTTCTGTCCCAGAAAAACAAAGAAAAACATACCCATCTCAGAGAATCCTCTCATTTCAGAAGAAATACCATTACCCAATATTTTTTTTCCAAAGAAAAATTTATTAACAGATGATCATAAACACACAAATTCAATATAATATATATATAGCAAAAGATATACCCGGGCATCATTCCATCGGGATGAATGTCGTGTTCAAGGCAGTAAAGCTCCCAACAAGCATTTCCCACCTGAATCCCTGCTTGCCCAATATGGATGCTGATCACCTCTCTCATCTTTCCCTCTCTCCCTCTTTCTCTCTGGATGTTCTTGGGGAAGGTTAGTAGAGGAGGAGGAGGAGGAGGAGGAGGAGAAAGTAGGGATCTTTCTTTATTTCCTCGTTCCTGGAAATGAACTTTTACACCCTAAACATAAACTAATCCTCTCTCCCAATTAAAGAAATTCTTAACATTTGAGATTTTTATTATTATTATTTTTCTCTTTTTAATAAAATTAAAAATCTCTCTTTTTCTATCAACTCATTATCACGATTTTTTAAATTTTATATTAACAAAAATATTTCTTATTAATATCATATGCTAAAAAGACAACATCATAAATGATAATATAAGGATTTTTTTTTTTTTTTTTTTCAAAGGGTTTTTATGATTCGAACTCAATTTTCCCAAAAATAAAATTATTTTTTTTAATTAGTGGGAAAATTATTTTGACATCATAATTACATCATATTTTCCAATTCCAATGTGGAGAACTTCCCGAGATTATAACTAATAAAAGTCTAGAGCTTCTTAAATTAAATTAACAATTAGTGATTATTAAATGAAGAATGTCAAAAGATGAATTGTCAAATTAATTTTCAGCCGTTAATTTAATTAATAGATAATCATGATCAGTTACCTTTCCGGGTAATGGGGCCCGCCACTTGGCGCCAACTTGATAGGCTATCTATCCAACTCTGGCAAAGCCAATTGTCGTTTTCGAATGGGCCCCACTTTATAAAAAATAATAATAATAATAAAATTATTTAAACTAATTAATTTTATTATAATATCTTCAATTATTTTAACCAAAGATGGAACATGCTAACTAAATATTAAAATTTTGTAAGTTTGTTTTAGATATTATTATTTTATTTTTTAAATTTATAGTATATTATTATTATTTAAAAAGTATACTATATATATATTTATTTCGTTCAATTTAAGTACATATTTATTTAATAATCTTCATCGTCTTTTAAAAAAAATTAATAATAATTAATTAAATATAAAAAAGTTGTTACATCAAATTATACTATTTTGGTAAATAATATAATTCTTCAAAGGGATTTTTGTTACATATATTGGTGTATTTTTAATTTATTTTAAAATAAAATAAAAATATATAAGTCTTTAAATGATAAATTACTTTTAATCTTTTTTTTCAAATTTAAAAGAAATTGAAATTAAATTTTCTATTAATTTTTTTAACAAAAAAAATTAGTTGAAGTTTGATAATGAAGTAAATAAGAGAGTAAACATTTATAGCTTACGAGATGACTTTTCACATGACTTTTTGTTTGTGAGAAGGAGGGCCCCACCCTTTATTGCTATTATGGAACCCCTTATTTTTTTATTTATTTCTTTTCTTCCAATCCATTTGTTATAAAATTATGATTACATATATATATATATATATATTAAATTCTAATAATTAATATTTTTATTTCTCTTTAAGAAATATTAATTATACTACTAATTAATTTCTTGATATCACTAAAAATAATCATAGTTGACTATTATATATTATAAACTATTAACACTTATAATATTTTTGCATACGACTATTTATAATTGAGATGATTAATTTGAATAATTCTAAAATTGAAATTGTTAAATATTCGAATATGAATTTTTTTATAAATAGTAATAAATGAATAACGAAGAGGTTCAGTAATTAACATTATTTTTTTTATATCTAAATATTATTAATTTAAATTTCACTTAAAATATAGAGCACACAATTTTATCAATATATTATGCGTAAACATTAATTAATATATAATACTTAATTCGGTTGATCGATAATTTATTTATTAACATTTAAATAGAATTAGGATTAATAAATTATTTTTTTTATGAATTTATTATATTTTTAAATTAAAAATATATTAATAATTAAATTTTATTAGTAAAGATAATTATAACGGATTAAAAATTTGATATAATTTTTTTTTATTTATAAAAAAAAAATTGTAATTATACATAAATAGAGACAATAAATAGACTAATTATGAGAATGAATGAAGGTGATTTAGTTCAATAATTATTGTCTTATATAAATTCAATATGTATTAAGTTGTGATTATTAAATGTGAGAATAGAATAATTATGAATATGTATAATTTTAAAATATTTGAAGGTCCATAAAGAAGATGGATACTAGGGTTTTTGAGCTCCAAAAGCAGCCCAAAGATCAAGATTAACCCATTAGGCTAATGAATCAAAAACCCATTAGCCTTGGATCCAATTGCATACAACAAAATAATTAAGTTCAAAGAGAAACCAGGAAAATAAGAGGAGGAAGAAGGAAGGAATAAAATGGATGGGACAACCCGAGTCACGGCAAAGGCGGTGGCTATTATCACCGGAGAAGACAACGTCAGGGGATATCTTCAGTTCACTCAGGACTCATACGGTCTCTCTCTCTCTCTCTCAGATTTCTGTAAATTTGTAAACTTTATGCATTATGTTAATATTACAATATTTCCATGGATATACATATATATATATATATGCAGGGACTACCCAGGTGACAGGGAAGATAACTGGGCTTACACCAGGCAACCATGGCTTCCATATCCACTCCTTTGGTGACACCACTAATGGCTGCAACTCCACTGGTACTATCTCTTATCTATTAATCGCTCTTGGTTCTTCTTATTCATTAATATTTCTGGTTAATTTCTTGGTTTTCCCCCTTTCATCTTACTATGTACTGAGTGCTTTCTTTTTTTTTTACTTTTAATCTTAAATCAAAATAGGCCCTCACTTCAATCCATTAAACAAAAACCATGGAGCTCCAAGTGATAAAGAGCGGCATGCTGGTGATTTGGGCAACATTGTTGCGGGCCCAGATGGTATATGCAGTTTCTAATGTTTTGTTGTGATTGGGTATGTTTAGAGGATGAAGCATAGTTCTCTAATCTTAGGGTAAATGCAGGGGTTGCTGAGGTTTGTCTTAAAGATAGACTGGTAAGCATATAGTTGTTATTTGCAATTTAAAGAAAAAAGCATGTAGTTTTCATCCATTCTTGAACTACTGCTGATGGTTTAGTGCATTATCTGAATTGGAATTGGAATTGGTATTGATAGGTGACTAAGAGATTTTCAAAAGATATTTGAATCACAATGGAATGATTGGATATGTAGCTGCCTGTGAAGTTATTTTTCCAGTCATCCCAGTGAATGTTTTGCCATAGTGATTGTAGCCTAATTTGTGAAATTTTATCTGTTTTAACTTATAGATTCCACTGAGTGGGAGTCATTCTATAGTGGGGAGGGCTGTCGTTGTCCATGCAGATCCTGATGATCTTGGCAAAGGTTAGAGTTCTGGTTTTTGTCTGCAAAATGTTAGTCTGTCATGAGGAAGTAGTAATAACAGTTCTTGAAGAATAAGTTCCTCTGGCTAAATGGAATCCTTTGGATGCTTTTAATTGTTAAATTTGTGTCTGTTGATTATCTTTTTTATCTTTACTGTTACCTGGACTTACTTTTTTTTTGCTTCTTTTACTTTAGAGTTGCTTGAGTATATCTGCATGAAAAAGTTTCCTTCAAGTTGAGAGAACTAGAGTTCTAGGGCGAGATGGTTTTAGGTTTTCATATTCATGCTCATGCATATTTCTATGAAGATTATTCGGATAATTAAACAGATAGTAATGAGGATAGAAAATAAAGAGACAGAAATTTGGAGGCCAAACTGCTGATTTACGGGAGGTGGAGATAATAAATTCAAGCACATAATATTGGATTCTTCTTTTAATTTCGCTTCTGTATATTATTTCTCAGAGTTGAATGTAGTATTTGTTTCAACATATTAATTGGATATTTTTCTAGTATTTCAAACTGTCTATGTCAAAGACACCCATTTTTCCGAGTCATTAAGAAAGAGAAGTTGGTTCGCCAAAAAAGATATTTAGGTTCTAGCTTTCTACGAAGCACAACTGTGTACCTCTTATAGATGGATCTGAAATAGAGATCTTGCTTTGATGCCTAAATATCTCGATTCAACAATTTTCTGAGTGATGGAACCATAAATTCTTGAATTCCACAAGACCAAGTTGTCAAACATGCAGGAATGTGGAGTAACTGATGTTTTCTTTGTTGTCTAAATAGACAAAATTCTGCTTCTCCTGTCTGCCAACGACATTTCTGGTTGCGTTCAAGTCATTTCTACAGCATTCAATTTTCTTTTCCCCTTTTGTCACTTCATTAGCAACGATGTAGATTGATTATTCTTAATATTCTGCTAATATATGGAATGCACAGGTGGGCATCAACTCAGCAAGACAACTGGGAATGCTGGTGCAAGGATAGGATGTGGTAATTAATTAAAAATTTTGACATGTTTTATTTGGACAAAGCTAGGTTCATACTGATTGTCTCTAGTAAATTTGACTTGAAAGTACTCAATGCCTGTTTGGTTCAGTTCCTACAAATACACGTAATAAATGGAAACCGACTTAAACAGAAAACACAATCTAATGTTTGTTTTAATATATTAAGAATAATCTAGTTACCAAGTATTGAATCAAGGTCATCTTTTACTTTCTCCTTTCAATCCGGATAGATGCAGGAGCTTGAGATGTGTTAAATTGATTTTGAGCAGGTATAATCGGCCTTCAGTCTTCTGTTTGAAGAAGGACTTGCAGATAAGAGATGGTAATAATATTGTGATTTACATAGATCCAAAGTTATATAGCCGACGAGTTATCAAAGTGTTGAAGAAGTTCCGGGTTGGGATGATAATAAGTAGGCTTTATTGATGTATCTTGAAATTTACTAGTCTAAACATGGCTATTTCTCAGGAGTTTCAGTTGTAATTTTTTCTTTTTATGTTGCAAAATTGAATTACATGTGAATTGGTAAGCACAATGCAATTGCCAAACTAAACTTATTATTATTACTTTTTTGAAGGAACAAGAAATTTTATTAACAGATTGCTAAGTTATCGCATGAGAAAAACAAAAATTGTCAGGGATTAAACCCCAGTGCTTATGTATATTAATTCATATAATTATGGTTTAATGGCCAAATTAAACTTTTACAACTATGGCTCCAAATGTATATATTGCGTACAAATTGCAAAATTTTTGACTCATTAATAAGGTATCTGAGATAATTTATTCATAAATCATATATATTTATAAAATTTCCTGCTTCTATTGTAAATTTGTGTGTGTGTGTGTATGTATATTTATTTATTTAAAAGACAAGCTAGTTTATTGTTAATTTGTTCTTATTTTTATTTTTATTTCTAAACATACTTTCAATTTTTAAAGCGCTTTTCAATAAAATGTGGTTCCAAAATTGGCTCTCTTTAGATTAAAAAGGTTATATCAAATCCTAATGCTACCACACTAATAAACTAAACACCTCCTAAATATTCATAAGATAATCTTATAAATCATCTTTATATATTTCTTTCATAAATCTTTTTTAATTAATGATAATTGAGATTATAACAACTTGCTCTATTTTTCTGTTAAATTTTTAATAATAAACATAAGATGAACACTTACTTAGTTCTTTTTTTTTTTTTTTTTTGGGTAAAGGCAGCATGAGATCCAAAATATAAAACGCAGCATTTCATCTGTAAAACTAACACGAAGTTAAAACAGTAACTGTAACAGTTCCACCCAGAAGGTTTATCCCCAATTAGGAATGAATTTCCATACCAACTTCCTAACTTCCACATCTTGCTTTTGCGATCCGCCTATCCTCTCAACCATGTGTTTCTGTACGAAGAGTTATCACGCAGAGAAGCATCATGGGCCTTGTACTCCATAACGTAACCATGAGGCAGCTTCAAGTGCCGTTTGATTGCATCTCTTAGGTTCATCACAGCCTGAAAACAGAAACCGACATCCAAACATTAGAATGCGATCATGGAGTATTGGACAAAACTAGGCAACTCCTAATCATCACATGAAAACACACCTGATGATCAGATGCATTGCGGTTCCATACACTTAATATATCCTCGTTGAAACGAATACTTAGTACTGCACCACATATGTTATCGCCATCATCCAGTTGGTCGCCCACTAAGGCAAGAACCTGCCCAAGCAAAAATCCACAAAAACTTATACTCCACTGTTGAAAAGAGGAGGGTGAAGTCAAACTCATAGAATTCAACAATGAATTCTATTTCCAAAAATGAATTCTATTTCCAAAAAAGATATTACAAATCTAGAATAGATCAGAGTATATAACTAAATACCAATACTGAAGTAAAGAAACTTTTTAATAAACATCAAGAACAACAGCATTCTTCCCTTCCTATCTTTTCTCTCACCCCTCTACACCATTCTGTCAGAGTCCCTACAACCAAATATTTTATAATCAACTATTTCTTAGTTGTATGATTAGTAGTTTCATCCATCTCTATGAAGGTGTGAGTTCAAGTCGGTTATACGTCCCATGTGTTCTACTTTGTAAATTATGGTATTACTCAATTTTTTTGTTATTGGTGTGCATGTGCTGCTTAATTATTAAAATTTATATATTTTCACTACGATCGAAGATTATAATGGAAGATACTAGCTAAGAGCATTATTTTATCCAAAATTCAGAACATCCTATACAATTTTCTAACTCAATCATCTCAGGTTGTAAATAGCCCGGTATCACATATTCCATTATTTCATTTCCTTTTTTGTTTTAATAGAGAAAAAAAAAAAAAAAAAAAAGAATTTCCATTTACGTAACAACTTCTTTAGGCCAAATGATTATGAAATCATACGGGTATCAAAGAAACTTCCATATCATAATCTGTGAATAACCTTTTAAAATAAAATTCGGGCAGCTTAACATTATCACACATCTTTCATGACAATGCAGAATGACATTGCCTCCAATCACTTTTTTTTCTAGAAAATATAAGCTAGCTGCCTTCAATTATAATTATATGTCACATATTTAAGCCTAAACAAAGAAAAAAAAATCAACTGCCCACCAATGATACTGAAACACCAAAGGAAAGGTTAATCTTCTTACCAGATCCTCCCAGAAACGTCCTGAAACAACCTTTTTGAACCTTATTATCCACTTCCCACCATTGCAGTTGGCAGAATCCTATAACAATTTTTACAACATTATTCCTATTGTTTGATGTGCAAGTTCCTGGTAATTCTGAAATAATACAAAAGAAGAGAGGAGAACAGAAGCGGCCAAAAGAATAGCCATGTAAAAGAAGAAGTATCACAAGATCTAGGCTTAGATGTTTACCTCCCACAAAGGGCGGATCCCCTCCTTGAAAAGATGCAAATCCGTTGGGCTTGGCAAAGAAGAAGGACGAGCCAAGTGACAGTAGCAAACCCAAAAACCTTCAACCTGTATAGGCATACTATTCAGAAACTAATTCATAAATTGAGCCAAGAAAAGCGACTTCAAGGTCATAGCTTTTCACACATTCTATGACCTTATGTAGTATAACTTACAGTACTGAATTCCACGATTTTCTTTATATTGTCTTCATAAGATGTTTGAGTTCGAACTCCAGGAGTACGGCGAGTGTACCAGAACACAAACTTGTTCTGAACATGATAATGCATAAACAAGATAACCACTATTAAATCCAGTTATTCTATACAAAAAGAAAGAGCCATGAATGTCAGACCTTTCAAAAAATTGAATAACCAGGCAAGCAATAAAACTAAAATAGCACATGGAACCAACCAGTAGGTGGAGCTTTAGATGTTTTTAAGGGGCCAAAAATGAAAACTTATCAACAAGGCACCAGGTTGAACAGTTTCAATATGAGTTTCATCCAACAAAATGCGGTGGTGATGAAGGAGAACTTTCTGGCCATACTCAAGGAATTCTATGAGTAAATGGTTTCTGTGTATCTAGCCTTAATTCAACTTTTTTGGTGTTTATACAAAAAATTATAACTATTTCAAACATTAGGAACGTTAGATCCATTAGTCTCGTGGGTGGTGTCTGCAAACTTATTGCTATGATGTTGGAAAGGGGGTTGAAAGGAGTAGCGAGGAGTGAGGCGGGGAAGTGTCAACACACCTTTCTTGGGGATAGACTAATTCTGGAAGCTTCTTTGATAGCTAACAAAATCGATAGATTGCAGAAAAGTGGGACAAAGGGGGAGATTTGTAAGCTTAACATGAAAAAGGCTTATCATCACATGTCCTGAGGTTTGTTTATATGTTCAAAAGACTGGGTTGGGATCAAATGGTGCTCATAGATGAGGTCTTGCATTACTTCTTCCTCTTTTGCAAGTATGATATGGCAGTCCTGGCTTTCTTAAGGTTTCTCCAGGCCTCAGGTAGGGAATCCTTTTCTCATTTGCTTTTTATCATAGTGATGGAAGCTTTTATTCTTTTCTCGTTTTCTTAAGGCATCTGGTCTTTGCTCATGGTATGTTATTTTGTGAACCTCATCCCGAACCTTATTGAATATTAGATGTATTCTTCAGTGCTTTCAAGTCGTCTTGGGGCACAAGATTAACTTGGCCAAGTCTGAAAGGGTCTCAATTGAGGAAGGATGTGATTCGGCTACTTGGTCAGAATTTTGGGATGCAAATTCTCTAGTCTCCACTTGAAGTACTTAAAACAACCACTTGGATGTAAACTAGATTGGCTGGGAGGAAGAGGAGTGTCCTCTCAAAAGGAGGCAGACTAACATTTATAGAAGCATTTTTTTTTATTTACTGATTCACATTTTGTTGTTGCTTTCTATATCCCAGCTAGTGTGGCGAAGAAGCTGGAGCCCATTCAGTGTTGTTTCCCCTGGGTTGACTCCAACGAGAGAAGGAGATTCCACTCAGTTGCTTGGAACGTTGTTAATCTTCCGTTTCACAGGGGTGGTCTTGCAATCAATCAGTGCTTGATCTTACAAACCTCTTCTGGGTAAGTGGCTCAGGAGATTTTTGAATGAGCATGTCCACGATATGTACACTTCCATATGCTATGGGGTTTTGGAAGAAAATCAACTCAGGATAGGATGAATTCTATGGTATATCAGATTACAGATTGGGTCCAGCCAATGTTGAGGCTTTGGAAGGAGGAATAGGGTGAATTCCATATGGTATGGGGTTTTGGAAGAAAATCAACTCAGGATAGGATGAATTCTATGGTATATCAGATGACAGGTTGGGTCCAGTCAATGTTGAGGCTTTGGAAGGAGGAATAGGGTGAATAAAATCTTTAACTTGACAAAATAGTAATCCACATAATATTTATGTCAATAAAAATTATAAATCTAAGAAAACAATTAAATATTATGAAACGAGCATATAAAGTCATAGTTTCTATAAAATTACA